TGTGGTAAATGACATGATTAAAGGTGTTAAGCAGTAATCGATTTGGTGGAGGCACCGCAACTTTTTTTTTTACATAATTACACTCCACAATTTTTTAAATAAGTTAATAACAGTGCCCTATATCTGTTGTAACCTGAATTTCATCTTCTATGGAAAAAGGTAACTACAAACAAATTTCAGATTTCTCGAAATGTAGTAAAATTTTGTATTATCATCGAACGCCATCTATAAACCAAAGGAAAAAGTAAGTTATAACTAAAGTTTTTCTTGGTACGTAAATAAAGAATGCTGTACGAAATAAATTTTAACTTTTTGATTAAAATGTTTTTATTGAAACACAGATTATTAAACAGTACTGATTATTAATAAAAAAATAAAGTTTAATACAATTTATTCTCATTAATTTGAAGTATTATAAATCGAAATTACTTGGATATAAATTTACACGCAGTGCGTTGGACCATGTGACCCTGACCTTGCGCCCTCGTCCTTTACATTTTTCACATGCTTAGGGAACTTTACATACCGCCAGATTAACGGGCACACCATTATTTATTTTTATCTCCCAGGGAATTTTTTCATTGTGTGTATATTTTTGATTCGACTATATCGTTTCTGGTTCTCACCCAATAAATTATATAGAAAATTATATTAATTATATTATCACAATATTGAAACATTTTCATAGAGGTGAATAGTTAAATGCGAAATCCTGAATAAATTAAAAATAAATTAGATATACAAATATCGAGTATTGCATTAAAGTATTACATTAAGTTTGTTTGGATAAATTTTATTCGTATGATACTTTTTGGATTTCAGCCAAGACGAACGTTTTTTAACTTTGGAATTGAGACAAGAAAATACACTCCAGTTACAAGTTTCGCCCATTCCAACAATGAATCGCAACCAAACGAAAATAAAGTGAACTGGTTTTTTGTTGTTTGAAATTTAGGTTTGGCACAACAATGTAAGTATTAATCATTTATAGCATTTTTATATGTCAGCGTTCCTTATAGTAATTATACACGGTATTCGCACAACCTTTTTTCTTTTCATATTGTGTCATAATACACCACACACTTTATATCATTTACATTGTGGGTCATGACTTGTTACTTTTGACAAGAAATAACGATTCAACCCTTGTCTTAAGCTCTGACTTCCCGAATATAATTAATGACTGTTTTCATCATTTGTATTCAGTCGTGTGGAGTGGAATATAATGATTAAATAGACTTTTAAATACCATTACTTTCAGTTTTGATTTATGTATTTTAAATACGACATTTTAATTTTATTAATCTCATCATTTTCAAGTTTAAATGAATTTTTAGTCCATAGTATTCTACAAATAATTAACTTTCAGTGGAATCTAATTATGAGATTTGGGGACATCAGCTGTTCTTTTACAAGAATAGAAGAGTAATATCAGGAAAGATTTTTCCCTCTGACATAAAAATATCATAAAACCACCCGGGAATATTGGTCTTCGATGAATTTACGGTTGTATGTTGTCAGTTGCGGTATAAAGTTATACGAATACAAAGAAACGAGATTCATTCGACTTCGAAAGCTTCAAAAACTCTTAAATAGGATTCGAACGGGTGGGGAAGTCCTAAAAATTGGAATTTTAAAATAAAAGAAAAGTTATAAAATTGATGAAAAGATCAAAGGGGGCAAGGAAATCTTATTACTCCAAGCGAATCACTCCGTTTTATGGATTGATTTTTTCACATCGCTTTAATTATTAAATAAAGTCCAGGTTTAATTAAACTAGTTTCAAAACTTACTGAATTTCAGCAGTATATGATTGATACACTAGAATATATTATAAACGACAGAATTAATTTAATAAGGTGTTAATTATGGAGACAGTTTGAAGTTTTCGACGTAAAGACCAACTTAGATGGCATGATTACAGGTGCAGTGTTGCATCAATTAGTAAATTAGATGGAGAACTTGCAGAGGTGCTGCAGTACGATTTGATTCGCATTGCATTATTAATCAACTGAATTTAAGATTAGTTCGAATTGATGAAACAAACTTCCCAATAAAGTTTTGTATAAAATTTTTTTGCATTAATAATAATAATTAAAATTATATAACATAATCATTACAATTTCACAGACTTTAAAGTATATGTTTATCCATAACTTGTCAAGAAAATTTATTTATTTCAAGGTTTTACTTCATAAGGTTCGCCTAAATGACTCGCCCAAAGTACAACATTGTTTCAGTTAATGCGACACTCGTTGAAAGCGGTGACATTAATGTGTCTCTTGCTGGAACCGCACTATTAGCTCACACTTTATTATGATAAATTGCGGATCCTTAAATTAATCGTCTTTGAACGTCCCGAATGACGTAAATACCGACTATAATTTTAGACTCCTTTTCACATAATTTGTTCTGTTAATTTTCCCCAAGACGTTTAAATTAACTGTTGTTACGTTTTACTACTCTTATTTACATTTTGAATAATTACAACTATTCATATACAGCCTGATTCAGAGTAAGCGCCTTATTTTTTTTTAGCCACACTATGGGTACTACTTTCAAAGCTAGTATACTCTGTTTTTAAACCAGGAGGAGTAAACGCGAAAGTCAGATTTACACTAGGAAAAATCACCAGAAAATATCACTAGATATTTTGGCGGTAAATTTAAATTAATAATTATTATTATTTATTTATTTACTTATTATTGTATTTATTTTCGTTTGTTATCGTCAACACTAAACATACAAATTAACATTGAAGTTATGAGTGTATTTATTTCAAAATATAATAAAGAAGGGTTTAAGAACACAAAATTTACAATAATGACACGAAACTGTCGAATTGTCAATAACCTAACCTTCAAATTCAAAATTGCCTGTGTGTGAACCTTCCTCGCATTCAACCAATCACGTGCAAGGTCAATCTGGTGACAAATTTAAAATACTCCTCCTGGTTTAAAAACAGAGTATAATTGCCAAAGAAAACTTCAAGGTATAATTAATGTTTGTAAACAAAACTAACCTTACCTAACATTCAGCGTCTGAAGACACAGGGCTAAACCCGAAACTTAAAAATATACAACTTAGCGCTGAATAACAATTAAAACTAGAACTAACACTTGCACTAGAACTATACTCTGTTTTTAAACCAGGAGGAGTAAACGCGAAAGTCAGATTTACACTGGGAAAAATCACCAGAAAATATCACTAGATATTTTGGCGGTAAATTTAAATTAATAATTATTATTATTTATTTATTTACTTATTATTGTATTTATTTTCGTTTGTTATCGTCAACACTATACATACAAATTAACATTGAAGTTATGAGTGTATTTATTTCAAAATATAATAAAAAAGGGTTTAAGAACACAAAATATACAATAATGACACGAAACTGTCGAATTATCAATTACCTAACCTTCAAATTCAAAATCAAAATTCAAAATTGCCTGTGTGTGAACCTTCCTCGCATTCAACCAATCACGTGCAAGGTCAATCTGGTGACAAATTTAAAATACTCCTCCTGGTTTAAAAACAGAGTATAGATTAAAATAATAGGTTCCTTTTGGATGGGGAAAGAAATGAATTTTTAAGAAAAACAAAATACTGTCGTAAAAAGAATGCTTTTAAGATCTCAATAAAAAAAAAAGTGTGGCTAAAAAAAAATAAGGCGCTTACTCTGAATCAGGCTGTATAGTGACTATAACTACCTACACATTAACATTCATTTTTATTTTTGAAAGATACAATGCTTAAAAGCTTATTTGTACTTGATTTATATTTATCCTCAGCCACAAAAAACCTCGGCTTATTCAGGCATACTATTTCAACTGGATTGTCGTATGTTGAGCATATACAAGTAATTGGTGCTTCTACTTTTGAACTAATTTTGCGAACATCCAATCTACTTACCAACACCATAGCGGTAGTAAGGTTATTTATTTGGTGCCTTCGTATTGTCGAGAACACTTATTACCTGGAAACCATACTATACCTAGTTTTCATCAAGTAATTAATGAACGAGAATTTACGAGGAATTAATATATCGTCACAGTATTGATTAGTAAGTTTGGTCGTAAGGGGAGATGAGCTGATGGTGGAGTTTGTGTTATTATAGTTTAGAGTTTGTTACTATATTGTTTTATTCTATAATCTATTTTGTTGCTTTTGTTAATAAGTAAACGTTACTTTTATTATTATAAAAAAATCTAGAATTACATTGTAATTAAGTAATTATACTGGCAAGATTGGAGACTTGAAAAGAAAGTTTGAAAACCAAAAAAAAAAGTGGAATTATCTGCCAAAGTTGCCAAACAGAACATGAAAATGTCATACTAATAAAATCATACTTGCAGAATTTTAGAGTGTTAAGTCTGAAATTACGTACGTGGACAAAATCCCACACATTATGGAAAAGTTTGGAATGAGGCAAGTGAGATTTTAGGCAATAAGAATACATCAAGAATTACTCTGGCCTGTGCCAAATTTAGTCTAATGCCAAATTGCAAAATTTTGTAATTGCACTGACATAATTCTATAATGACTAATACTATAAACTTTAAGAAAATATCTGGAATTGTACTCGATTGGTCCTATACTGCCGGCAAAAGTCTGGAATTTTACTGATAGGGCTTTAAACTATAAGAAGAATTTCGATGTTACGTGAGCAAGTTCCAGACTTCATTATAAAGTCCAGAATGACACTGGTAAGACTTTAAAGTGTTTGAACTTACATTTCCAGACTATAAATTTTAATAAAATACTTGGAAATTTTGAACTAAAACAGAAATTTGCCATTTCATGTTGGGTTTATTGCAATAAGTTAATTGTAACAATAATTGACCACCCTATCTATTTCAATATAAATCAATATAATTGAAAATTAATATATGCTTTGATATCGAATAACTAAATTTACGCCTCTCTAATATAATGTAGTAGATTATTATATGTACAACAAATTTCCAATATCCATCAAAATAAATAAAACCTAAAAATATCCTTGTAGGTGTTTATTTAATCTCACTTATTCATTACAAAAAATAAATATCCAAATTCATTATTACACTTTGAAAACAAACTAGGTTTAATTAATCTCCTACGACAAATCAGAACAATTTCTAATTTGTTTGTCACATAACTATGTACAAAATTACATTAATCTCTAAATAATATATAGATACGCCTAAAATCTGTAAATAACAGGAACAAACAGAACCGAAAATTGAAAACAAAATGCGCTTACTCTTAATTTTGTTTATTGACACACAAAACACTTAAACATTTATGTTTTTTTTTACATCTAGCGCTACGTTATGTCCGTCGTTTTTAACACGTGAACACTTATATCGAATGGGAAGACTACAATAAAAAAATCAACAAAAACTTACGATGTTTAATGTATGCATTGAGTAAGGTAAAAAATAATCGTGTTAAACAAATAGTTCGATGTATGTTTTCCTGTAACATGTACGTATGCTATTTATTATTACTCTTAGCTACGTGAATTTGGTCTTATTATTTACTTAATTGAACGTACAACAGTTTGTTTTATTACATACATGAATACTAGAGTATGATTGTGTTTCGCTACAAAGTAATTTTTGTCATTCTCATTATAAGTACGGCGACTCTTTTATTCAATAAATACTGGAAAACATCGAATATTATTAACTTTTGAATAACTTTAATGGAACCAATGTTTTGGTTAACCTCGATTACAAGAAGCTTGGAGTACTTTGTACTTAGAGGATTCTTCGTTCTTATTTATTAGTTTAGTAAAAAAATTAAATGAATAGAGAGGAGGATTATGGAACTATTAGGTTCAGGTTTTGAATGTTAGGTAAGTCTAATTTATACCTTGAAATGGTTTTAAATCATTTTAGGTAAAGCAGTTCAGTAGAATAATTTTAGTGAGTATTAAATCCTTTATATATCAGAAATTAGAAAAATGTTTGAAATAAATATTCATAACGTTGAATAGGATTCAGGATATTATTTGGTACCATAGTTTATTTACAACAGGGGTAGTTTACAAGATAGTGGAGCACAGTATCAATACGTAGTACCGATTGCTTAATTGTTACATCTACATAATATTATATTATACTGGCGTATTAAGTATGTTACCTACATTTGTATATACTGTATCACACGTAATCACATTTGAAATAATAAAACTTTGGTCTTTCCATTTAACATTAAAGTCCGTTAATTGCTTTTATTTTTCCCTATATAATTCCGCCCAGACTTTTATAGCGATAATTTATAAAATCATTTTGTTATTTAAGACGAGTTGTGATAGTATTGTATTTTATAAAATAGTATTGACATCACAACTTAACCAAGTTTTTCTTTTTTGAACTGATATTTTCCTTCCGATTTGATTAAAATCTCATCTTCAACCATTACTGATGTATAGATTTGCTTGTGTTAGAAGAAGAATAGCACCACATATAGAACGAGAGCCATACAAAGAACAAATGGACAAAAGTTGAACTAGCAGCAAATTGAGAACTGTGACCAGGTTTTAATCGAAATCGATTTAAAAACTGGTAGTTGTCAATCTGCTGCTAGTAAGGTCTACTCAAAGACTCGATCCAAATTCGGAGCTTCGCCTCCTGTCAATATGTTTCATATAAGTTTCGGAATAAATACTTCTTGTGCGATCATCATACCTAAGTGAAGACCTCCTCACGTCGTACTGATCCAAACTGGACGGCGGCCTCCTACAAAAACTGCAGAACAAACATTGAAGGGTGTTCTTAAAAGCTTCGCGAAATTCTCGGTTGAAGTAGGCGTAAATAACTGGGTTCAAAGTCGAATTGAAATAACCAATCCAAAATACCATTGTGATGACAATGTCGGGATTAGCGCAGGTTGTGCATAAACTGGTAATAATATACCAAGAAAAAAATGGCAGCCAGCATAATATAAATGTTCCCATGATAATACCCAAAGTCCTAGCAGCTTTATGTTCTCGCTTCATTTTTATAATGTTTCTTTCTTTGGTTGGTGTTGTATGCAAATCTTGATTGATTTCGTGCATTAATGTTTTTGATGAACCCCCGGAATTTGAAAGCATATCTCCATTTGTGTTATTTTGATGTAATAACATCGCAGCCCCATGTCTGCTATACAATTCTTTTTCCTGTCGATTGGCTTCGCGAAATATAGCCAAATATGTACACACCATAATAGTACATGGGATCCAGAAAGAAATTGAACTGCTTACGACAGCGTAGAACCCGTTAACTGTGAAATCACAAAGTTCCGGATGTTTTTCTCTGTAAGCTTGGTTCTTTTCCGTGGTGTATAAACCAAGAAAAATTGGCACAAAGCTGATTATGGCAGGACTGATCCACGTGATCAGAAGCATAATGGCGACGACCCTTTTTGTCATGCTTAAGGTATATTTTAAAGGTCTAACTATTGCATAATATCTATCGACACTTATACAACACAAATGGAGGATTGAAGCAGTAGAAAAGTACACATCTAAAGAGTTCCATACATCACACATAAAAAATCCAAACAGCCATCGGTTGAAAATTTGAACACTGGCGTTGAAGGTCATTACAAACATAGCTACTAGTAAATCCGCTAACGCTAACGACACCACAAAATAGTTTGTTATCACTCTCAACTTCCGATGCCTCATCACGGAAATGATGACTAAAAGATTTCCTAATATAGCTGCTATTATTATGGTCGCCATAATGCTCGCCTTGATAAAGAGCAAAAACGACCCCGTCCATTCTGTTTCGTTTTCAACCGGCGGCGATGAATTATATGATGTACAGTTCGTTTGGTTCGTCAGTACGGTATCCATAATAGCCGTGGGTTAAATCAGTCCCAATAAATCTTATTCTTCATTGAATTATCATCCATAAGATACAATGATGTCATTTTTTCAACCAATTTTAGGAACCAACAAATTTCTGAAACAAAAAAAAACACCATTAGAAATAAAATCAAAAACAAATCCTTTCGAAATTCGAGAATCTCGAATTTCTTCTTCATAGTAAAAGTACAAACTACACGTTCGACCGACCATTCGAGAGCAAAACTTCCGTGAAGTTTTAATTTGAACGAGGACCGTAATTTTAATTGCAACGGCTTATCGTATCCATAGAAGTTGAGAATTCAATTTCTCTGGAGATTTGAAACTCTAGAACAACTTGATGAGATTTTAAGAGTTCAGTGTAAAGTTTGTTAAGTGTTTTGTGACGTTTTGATATATTAAATTACCTAGTTTTTATTCGGTTGATTACATTGATTCGTGACCATAAAAAGTGGTTAATTAGTACTTAGTAACGTTTTTGATCGATGAAATGACCTAATTTCTGTTCGCCTGATTACCTTTCAAATACACCTACTAGCAAAACTTATCATTGAGTCACCGAGTTCATTGTAAATATAGACGTTCATGTCCATAACGAGATTTATTAATTCGCCGCAGAAGTGGTAGTGTTTCAATGCCATTGATTATTGGAACAGGAAGTGGAAACTTTGAAATACCCTCAGGCAATGAGTAAACAGCAAATTCAGCACGAACATTCTATCAAATGAATGCGGTCCGCGAAATTGCAGTTGCCCAGTTCGTTTTCTAATTTAGAGTGCAGGAGTTACATCTGTTGTTTGCTCTATGTCTGTCGGTTATACGGTAGTTTCCAAAGTTACGGTGGCACTACTTCAGTGTATCATCATTAAAATCAAGCAGAATATATATAGTGGTTCACTGTGGTAATTTTGTGCATTAAAATTTAACTTAACTTGAATATTAAAGTACTTAAAAGGAGTTCATTGATATTCAGAAGAAAATTGAGAGCGTAAATTATGGAGAGAAAATTTATATGGAAATTTGGTGTCGGAAAAGACTTAACCGCATACATCCATAAATACCTGCTCTAATATTCTACGGTAATAGGGAGGTGCAGACTTAAGGATATAGAATGAAGTTTATTACTTTAATAAAGGTATATATGGGTTCGATTTTGACCTCAATTAATACATTAAATTGTTATGACTTTAACCAACTAATTTTATCGCTTAAGGACATGAAATACGAATATTTGGTTTAATTGTAAAAATCGTTAAACACTTCAAAGACATTTTTGCAGAGATAAAAAACGTTTTTACAACAGTACTGGGGAACTTCACACATAAATTCCGTTGTAGTAAGCACGTAGAGACGAGTGAAGTCCTATAAAAGGCTTGTCAGCAAGGCGGCTGATAAGGAAATCCTAGAATAGCCTGAGGGTGTCCCTTTGGTTATTACTCGAAAAGAAATCCTTTAAAGTTGGATGGATAAGCTTCGAATATTTTATATTCCTTTTATAATTTTCAATAAATAACCAGCTAATCGAAAAATTACTAGAATGAGTGGTAACCCATTATTTATCTAAAATATATTTTGAATGGCTTTACATTTACACCATCTACACAGCTCTTACTATGTTCTAAACGACAATAGGTAGTCAACGGAGATTGTCTCCGAGGATCGAAGAGTAACCGGCCGATAGTACGAGGTATTCACGACATTAAAGGGGCGCTTTCCATAAATAAAATACCAGATAGTCGAGCTTTCCTTTAGTATTCCAACGTCCAACAAACATTACGAAGCCTCGAAATTGCGTACCTTGTACCAGCTATGTTGGAATGTTTCGCATCTTATGCAGTCCCATATCTGAGCACAATAACGTTGGGATAACATGGTATTGTATAGATAAAATTTCCATTTTATCTTTCAGTTATAATGTCTAATTTAATAATTGTAAGTAAATTTTATCACTTTCAACGTAAAATTTAATTACAAATTAAGTTAATCAAAAATAATTCCTTCGTTTTCATAATTTCCGGTGATATGAATTTTTTAATTCAACTTTAAACAATTTCTCATTATAGTACAAGCTGAAGATTTCACATCGGAATGTTAAATGAAACCATTTAATTAAATTTAAGCACATACTATCGATGCTTTTCAATCAGAATTAATCCCTGAACTGGAATATTATTAGATACACGTTATTCTAGTAAAAATTTTAATTAAAATTGGTTCCACCCAGAAAACCGGTTGAAATTTAAAAGGTGCACTTAAAATCGATTTAATCAAATAATGTTCGGTTCGTTTGATAATTCATGAAATAAGATCAAATATATCAGATTTTTCTAACAAAACCCTTAATTAAAGGTCTTGCTGTCAAGTAGAGATGAATGCTTAAAAGGAGAATTTTCCGATATACCTACATGGTTGTGTGAAGAATGATGAATAAAGGGGAAACGTTCACAAAAGCGTAACTTTCGTACAACGTTTCCCTTCGTAGTGGTTCGTTGCGTGTCTTAAAAGATATATTTTTTGTCTTTTATTTATTATTATTATTTTTTTTTGTATACTTACACCGGGAATTTCATATAACTCGCAATATATGAATACACTAACCATAGTTACGAAACTACTATGCATTTCCATTGGGTAGTAAGTTTTGCTTGGAAAAGATGACGCCTTTATGATAACTCTGAGTTTTTGTCTTAAGAGACGCACAGCTAAACCCGAATGTTTTTGGTTCTAGGTCTAGTGTTAGTTCTAGTTTTAGTTCAATAAAAATATGCAACATAGTGATATTTTATGCTAACTAGCACTACCTACCAGCCGTCTTAAGAGAGGTACAGCTAAACGGATGATTTCCAGTTTTAGGTCTAGTGTTAGTTCTAGTGTTAGTCTAATTTTATTTGTTATTCAGCGCCTTCCCCGTCTTGATCCGTTATATCTAGGTTTTACTGTAATGTGAAATTGTATTGACATGTGGGATAAAGTAAGTAGATACACGTTTTCCATTTTTATTACAACTTTCTTTTATTAAAATTAAATTTCTCTCAAAAGAAAATTATATGGTAATAATCCTCCAAAGCTAAAACCCTTTTGCGTCGAGGGAGTGGGATTTTATGGTTTTAGGTTTCTCCCAACTAAAGTCGCTTATTCAATCAGATCTCGATGACTATAATTCTTGTATCTGGGAGATGTCGTCTTCACATAACACATTTTATTAAATTTTCTTTTATTACTATTATCATTTAATAACTGTTTGTTTCTATAAGATCCAATGGGGGAAAAGTTCCTTCAGCTGATTTTAATTCTAGTTTATGACAACCCGCTGGTGGATTTTGATTAGTCGGCATTTTGCGCCCCCGTTTTTCTCGGTTCGTTCGTTCGTCTAAGCCCTTGACACGTGGCCCCTGTTCTTTGTCTTCACCAGCTTCATTGTTCGCCCATTCGATGACGCTGCAACGAGTTCTTCCGATAACTTCACGTCTTAGCGATTTCGTCCAGTAATTACCCGTTTGTTCTTTAATCATTAATCTTTTAGTGAGGAGAGTTTTAATTTCATCTTAATAAAATCGAGCTTTATAGTTTTATGTTGGCAGAGATAATTTGTCGATTTTTCCATTCAAAGAAAATTCATGAATTTTCTACAAGAACATTCTTTCAGTGCAAACAATATCTTAGGATACGGTTACTTTTGTTTTTAAGGGTGTATTAATTCAATCAGATTTGGTGGCTTGCCAGACAATGGTTGGCAAACGTGACTTCATCTGGGTTAACGGTTTTTTATATTCCTCTAAATTTTCCAAAACACTTTGGATTACCGATGAAAGTCACGAGTCGACGACTCTTAAAATTCGCTAACGGCCGCGATCTAATTAAATCTCGCGTGAGTACAGTCCTAAATTGGCGGATTTTAATTAGTGCACCACTCGTTTTGTTCTGCTCCTTCCTGGAAAGGTAAGGACCTAATGAAAAATCTATAACCCCGCCAAGGAAAAGTCGGCTTGGGAAAGAACGTATGTCGATTCCAGAACGTTTACTAATTATAACCCCTCGTTTATTTATTACCAATTAAACATAATTAATGTTCCAAGCTGAATATAAATTCTAATATAAAATAAAATATGAAACCTAAATGTGGTGTATTTATAAACAACCTTAATTTGTGACACAAAAAATATTATTTAACTACATTTAATTTTGTTATATTACTTAATATAATTGTATACTTGAATTTTGTTTAACACACTGATATGAAAACATATTAGGTTCTGTATTGACCTACTATCTGGCATTTAAAAATGTTAATAATCTCTTTTGACCTTTAACACTTGCCTCTGAATGTTGAAACTAGTACCTATAGCTATATTGCAAGAAATTTCTTGTATAAATAACAGTTAAATGAAAGTTAAATTAATATAAAATTTTGAGCTCTTTTACTAACTAGTTTATTTTGACTAATCAATAAAATTGTTATATACAATAAATGACGTCTCCGCTACCGACAAAAACAGGCATCCGTTACTGTGGGAGCATTTTAATTTAAAGTTATTAAAAAAAAAACATTGAATTCAAAGAATTTAAATATTTCTGTGTCGTTGCACAATTTCAATTATATTTTTGATTGCGTAGTTATTTATTTTAAATTTAGATTATTTTGGTTTGATTTTCATTTCGAAAACTTTTACCGCTTATCTATCTGTAACATTTTTGTTTAGAGTTGATGTAAATTCAGATTCTTAAAATTAAATACCGTCATCATATTTAACTTCTTGTTAAAGTTTGTGTTACTCTTGGCAAACCCGGTTAATCATGACTTTATGTCAGGGTTAAGAGGAGACGATCTCATTAGCTGAAGTGCTAACCGAAAATGGCACCCTGCTAGGTCGTTGCGTGGTTTAAACTTTGCAGAAGGGATGAAGTTGGTGACGAGTGTTATTCTCAAAACCGTGCTTCCATGCATGTCATGAATGTGGTGAACTTTAAGTCTATAAACACCGATACTATAATAAAGTAACATGAACTAATATAAACATCCCCCTGCAGGTTTGTTGGGGGATTAAAAATGGTTTTCTTCAAAACGGTTAAGATTTAAGAAATAAAACTTATTGGGTT